CCTCCCACTCATCCTTGTCTGCTGCCTCTTGAGCGCCCTTGACATCCAACTTCCCAATTTCGTCTACCAGGCCTTCCATACCAGACGGTGTCTGGCTGTTGCCAGCACGGAGCTTCTCGCGACGCAGACGAAGAGCTGCATCGGCACGGTCGAGTAGAGTCTTCATGACTGAGGCGTGCTTGCAAGGATGCACAGAGGCCATCTTGATGTTGTTGGCGAAGAAGGGGAAGTCCTCAAGCGTCACTGTCTTGTCCTTGTAGTCGCCGACAATGTCCTCTGTCATGTCGTTAGGGGGTAGCGGCTGACCGCTGGCAAGATAGCCTGAGAGATACAGACGGGGTGTTCGGTAGTAGGGCGAGTACATGATGTAAAGAGTGTATGTACGGTGAGCGCTGCTAGTTGTTAGTAGATCTTCCTAGAATGCGAACTTTGTAGCAAACCTGTTCTTGGAATCAGCGCCAGAGTCGCGAATGATAGCCTCATCGTCGTCTTCATCCTCCATGTCAGGGATTTCGTCATCATCCTCGACAACCTCTCGATCACCGACATTTCCAGAATCATCCACCGTCCTCACCTCCTTGACCTTCAGTGGCTGGGAACTAGCCAGGCCACCGGTCCTCAACCAACCATCCTCATCATCGCCAGTAGCGCCCTTGAAGTCGTCGCCGTCGTTAACGAGAGCTTCCTCATGGCCTGCGTCGCCTGCAAAGTCATCGTTTAGGCGTCGATGGCAAGGAACGTTGCGAGTGACGAGGAACTGCTTTCCTGGAGGTAGATGGCTTACTCGCTGCTCGGGAGAGTCGGCATCACCCCAAGACCAGGTCGGGAACTTGTACACGAGGTAGTCGCCCGCAGCGAGGAACTCTTCTGGTGTGATTTGGCCAGTCTGGCGGAAGGTTGATTTGTGAGAGACGGGAGTATAACGATCCCGTAGGGTATTGACGGTGGAGTAGATGTAATTCATGATGGCTTCGTTTCGTCTCGATTGGCTCGTTCGATAGATATGATGTCTGTTGATGTTCAAGGAGTCGGAAAGATAAGCTTGTCGTAGTGTGGACTCAGACGCTGTATCGCTGAAATAATGCGGGGTTGAGATTCTGTATAAGCTTGGTGGTGAAGGGATACAAAGGAGTCGAAGTTCCAAAGAATAAGAAAGGCTTCAGAAAACTTTGTCGTTGCTCCGTCACGTCTGCCTGAAATGAGAGGGAGGATGACTGATAAAAGAGAGACAAATAAATATGTTATGGTGCCTGAGTAATAGGCTTCACTGGTGAGGCGATCACATGGAGGTGTACGAATATGCCTGGACCCCTCATTGGCTGTGACGTCGGACAGCCACTCAGAGTTGGGGGAGCTTGACTGAAGCGGGTACGGAGCTGGGCTTATCTTATCAACATGCACGTCATCTTCCAGAAGCTTTGCTCACGTGCATACCATGAGCCTCCCTGGGGCAGATGAGAGTCAGTCTGGTGCTTGGATCACAAGGACAAGAGAAGCAGAATTAGCCATGGTCAGTGAATTTGCATAAAGTGTTCAAGTGCTCTATTCGGCATATCGTGGTATCTTTTCTTCTTCAGATGTTTTGTTAGAAATACATGTCTACAAGCCCAAGTCCAATAGGAGGTAAGGTGCTCATTGCTCTTCCTGAGCCTCTTCCTCTTCCTTCTTCTTCTTCTGCTCTTCACGCTCTTTCTTTTTCTCCAATAGCTTCTTCAGCTTCTTCGCTGAGTTGAATACGCCATTCGTGCCAGCTCCGCATGCAGCGCATGTCGGGTCTCTTCTGTATCTCTTAAGAGCACATGGCTCGCAAAAGTAGTGTCCGCACCTCGTCTGAATAGGTTCCCTATATGGTCCCTCGCAAATAATACATGCAAAAGGGATCTTTTCAAGCATAGCAATCTCATCAGCGTTGTCTGCGTTCTCAACCTTCTCGTCGCGGTTGGCGCTCGCAACAACGGTGCCGCCTAGGTTCTTCTTCCCCTTGGTAACTTCTTCCCATTCTTTATCAAGTTGCCATCCTTGCTTCACATCTTCACGTATGTGTGCAAATATGCAAGAATCCATGAATCCACACCAACCGGTCTTCTTGTAATCTTTGCAAACGTCTGGCTTAAAGTCCATAACTGTGATGGTACGGACATTTGAGGAGGCCTTGACAGGACCCTTCGCTCTGTTGGGCGCATCGGGGTTCTTCTCGATGAAAGTAGTCTGGTTTGCGAGTCCTTTGTATGTTCCATCTGGCTGCGAGTCTTTTGTGGCAATTCTTGTTGAGCCTAGGAGGTTCTTCGCTGATAGCGCATCCTGAGAGTCTTCATCGTACCAGTTGCTATGTTTTGTCGCGTCATTGGTACTTGTAATGGGTACATTGCGGTCTGCTGTATAAACCGTCGCCTGAAGATCCGTCTTCCCTGTTGCCAAGTCTTTTGAGGATGCTGTGACGGTGGCAGTCTTCTTGCGCCGCTTAACGCGCTGTCCCGACTCGTCTTCTGACGATGAGTAGTCGCTATCGTCGCTGTCGGCGGGAGGTGGCGTCGCTGGTCGTTTGCGTAGGTTTGCTTTGCCCTTTGCGCCTCGCTTCTTGAATACCGGGGCAGACGCTTGTGGTTCTGTTGTTGAATCAGCCATCTTTGTGGCTCTCGATGGTCGATTTAGAAGTGACGGGGGTGGATTTTAAATGCGACCGTTACAGATTGGAAATCAAAGTTTCTTGATTCTAGGATGGATGGATCTAGAAATGATCATGTGACTGCGCGTAGCGTTGGTGTCAGGAGGTGTGAGCCAGTCAAACTTGAATGACGACATTTGGCAATTGTCAAGTTTTTCTCATTGAGATCGATATGATGTCTTGATCAGATCTCTATTATCTCATTTTACTTCAATGACGCTATTTTGGTGGGAAAGGAATTCATCCGCACTAAGACCAAATCCATCTTTGGGCCAGCTTCAGCACGAGGATATGATCTATCAATCGACAGTGGCACTTTAAACTGGTGCGCTTCCTTTGTATATATAAGTCCCCCTTGCGGCTTCCTTGGGCATTTTTTAATGACCATAACTTCAGGAAAGCTTCCTATAATATTACAAACGCCATATATACCGTCTCTGGCCATCATCCAGGATGACCATCTCGCCATGACCCGATAAATAAATGCTCAACAAGGATAATCGGATCTCCTTTATCATGAGTGTGCTCTTGAGGCAACCATCCAAAGCTATCCTTTGGCAGGACAAGCACATCACCAATCAATCGAGGTTCTTCGAGTCTATCTAATTCATTCCCAGTATGTTCCACGCCCGTGGACTCCTTGAAGTAGTCCATGAGAACTTTTGTGAAAGCAAAAGGTCCAGTAGTGGACATCACATCTTCGAAAGAAACTGCCTCTCCAGGCTGCTTGGACTCTAGAAGTTTCTTGAGATCCCCTGCCACTTGGCTCACAAGCGTCTTGATGGCAGGATGGTTTGGCTTGGCTAACACCGAATATTGGCATAACTGCACAGAGTATGGGGAGCCAGGCCAGATGGGCTGTTTGTGATGGTCATTCTCTATCCCAACGACCAGATTCACTGAGCCTTGAAACTGTTTCGGGATCCATTTCGATACTGGCTGATGGGGGTATACGTCGATATCAGCCCAGACACCACCCTCGCGCAGCAGTATCAGGTACCTCAAGAAATCTGCTTTGAGAATTGGGTCTTGCAGGCTTGTAAAGACGTCTGATATGTTGGCATCAAATCGGTCGCGAACATAAGCGTCATTATTGGCATCAGTAATGCGCTCATACCGCCAGTCAGGATTGACTACACGCCATTGGTGTGGAAAGCCAACAGTTCTATCAGTCGGGTTTTCTGAATCGTCTTTCCAACTTTGCCATATCTTATGTGGAAAAGGTTCCTGTTGCAGAGTGACAGGAGCCGTAGGCAATGGTGCCTCTCCAGATAAGCTACTTGCTATCGTGTGTATTAGCAAGCAATCGAAGCTGAGGGTTTGCGAACAACTAACGTCTTATCCTGTCACTATATGCGTAGTTGACAGTCAAGAAGATGACGATCACGACGGCTATTGAGGCAGTGTAGACATACTTTCGGTGCGCAAAAGCCGGTGACAACATCGTGGCCAGACCGACTACAATGAGTTGAAGGGAATTGAAGTGATAAGAATGCGATCAGCTTCGGGTAGAATTACAATAAGACAATTTCAGCCCTGTCGGCGATTAACCGCAGCGACTAATGGACCCCTGAATCGGTGTGGGGCCGAGTCTCCGGCCGTGTCGGGATACAGCTTCTTGCAGCCAATTATCGATCCCCTGTTGCCGCCCGGTATAGGAAACCATTTAACCACAACTGTCTTCAACCAACACACCAGTAAGAGTTCACGATATGGTCTCATGTAGAATCTACAACCAACACAACTTCAGCCTTCGTTAGAGATGCCCCCAGAATCAAGCGATGATCGGGACAATTCCTTGGGACGATAACTGCTGGCTCAGCCAGCGAGCGTCTGTTTCTGTACGGCATTGTTCTTAGACCAACGGCTTCGTGCAGCTTCTGATACACTCCCTGGAACTGCCAAGTTTGGTGCAACCAACAGTTCCCAAAGACGAATTGTTGCATGAGTCTAATCTCTGGTCTGTTGGGTCGCTCTTCAGCTTCCTCCCCTTCCTTTCTACTCAGTTTTACCTCAAAACTCTGTGCTTCTTTCTCCTTCATGATACACACACCTCTCTGTGTTGTTGTGCAGGTCAACTATCAAGATGAAAAGGTTCATCCTTTCTCTCCTATTTCTTTCCTTCTCGCATTTATGTTTCGCCGCCAACAAGTGTTACTATCCCAACGGCCTCGAAGCCGAAGACCATCCTTGTGATCCCAATTCAAAGCAGAGCGTCTGTTGTTCTGGGGGCCTAGGAACAGTATGCCTGTCGAACAAATTATGCATAGGGGGCAATGGAAATACCGTGCGAGGTTCATGTACGGATAAGAATTGGAACTCGCCCGAGTGTGCAATGTTCTGCCTGGGTTGGTGACGATCATACAAAAGACATCGCACAGTTATACTTACTCTTCCCAGGCGCTGATACAGGAGGGACTGACCTGATCTCATGCTCCAACGTTACAAACAGTGACCCATCATATTGCTGTGACCACAACACCAACTGTTGCAATAGTGGCGTCGGCAGATTCAATGTACTCCCATCTGACCCCGAAGTGTGGGCGACGTGGAACCGAAAGGCGACTCGATATGATGTTGTTGGTACAATTTTTAGTGGCCAGTCCACGACCGAAACCGCATCGGCAACAACGGACGTCACGTCTTCTACGGCATCTGCTTCTTCTTCCACCACGACAAGCGATGCATCCATACCGTCCAGTTCTGTGCCGGATACACCAGAGCCATCCGAAGCACCCGCAGGGCTTTCCACCGGGGCAAAGGCAGGAATTGGAGCTGGTGTTGGTGTCGGAGCTATCATGGCTGTGGCTGTTATATATCTCTTTTGGAAGATGCGTAGGAACGAAAAGGCTGCTAAGCAGGGCGAGCAACAACAACCTTCGAATAAGAACCCGATGACGGATGCTTGGAAACAATCTCAATACGTGTATGTTTCGAATGGCTATCAGTATCAACCTCCACATCCGCAAGAGCTATCTGAGACTCCGTTACAGGGCTTTAATGGGCCTGCTGAGTTGCCAGCACACAATTGACGCCCATGTACTTTTTTGTCTCGCCTCCAGGTTGATTGGAGTTCCGGCTGGTGCCATGTATATAGTATTAGATTACGCTTGAAGCATTAAATATATGGCATAATATCATTAGAGTTGACATTGATGATATTCCTGGCAGGGCTTGTTGAGATTGGTAATTCACCTAGTGCCTTGCAAGCTGTGCAAAGAGCAAGTGAATTTGGGGCTACCTATCTTAACTTCGAACCTAGAGAATATCGCATGATCATTCCTCAAGAAAAATCTACATTCTGTGAGTAAGGTCTTTGCACGACCGTGGAGTTTATGGCACTTGGACCCTGATCTTCAGACGAAGTCATGGACAGCCTCACTGAGGGTAAGTATATACCTAACCAGCCATGGAAAAGCCTGTTACAAGAGGCATGACTTGACCCAAAGCTATTGTACTATTTGTTGTCTCTCCGGGAGCCTGAATGAATTGTGCTGATATGTGCTGATATGTTCGATGACGGGGCATGTTAAAATTGCTACCCTGTACCCACGTATTTCAAGCTCAGAAAATCCAACGTCACTCCTTGAACTGAGGATTAAACCGACCGATGCAGACGAATTGTGTTTTTTCTGAGTACTAGGACCTATTGTTGTTTGGCTACTACGTAGTTGCTTATACGATGATAACTGCTAAAGTGTTTGTTGATGTCTTCATTGATGCGGCAGATGCTACCTTAACACATTGTCACAGAAACACTAATGACACGTAGAGAGGTACTCGTTCGCTCCACTGACGGAAGCATTGTCCAACGATGCCCTCTCTCAAATCAGAAACCCCTTTCTCCCGCAGGATACATGAACTATGATTCACCAGCAGAGGCCATCGTCAAAGCAGTGCATGGAAGCGATATTGAGATGTGAGGCTTAGTTCTGACGTGTCTGTAGAGGAGTTGCCCACAGAGCTGCAATTGGCCAAGACGCCAAACGATAGCTCGAGACCAATTGGCCAAACGGAGCTGAGAATTGCATAGGCAGAATGATCCAATGCAGGCAAAGCAAAAGAAAACCTTCTTTTAGTTTTTGCTATTTTATTTTTGGACACGGTCTGGATCGATCGCGGGCAGCTCCAAATCCAGATCTGATCAAGCATCATATCACATCACATCACATCTCATCTGTTGGGGAAAAACAACCGACAGAGGGCAAAGGTGAAAGCCTGCAAGGCCAATAAGTTAGTCAATCGTCTCCGCTAACTAACAAGGTTTGGCAGCTAAGCGTAATTGGCTGAGGAGAGACCCTGGTCAAGGACAACCTTGGCAGAGAAATGAGATGAATGAGGGTGTTTATGCGGACCGTTGGAGGAATCTGGGCGCTTATTGGATTTTCGGTTTTGTGCGCATCCTGCTGATGATGCGATGACGGCATGTGATACCAGATAATCAATTCCTGGTGGTGGTTGGTGATGGTGTCGTGTTGTTGACTCTTTAGAGGTCACCAAAAGTCAATATCACGAATCACGCCATATTGTTTGTTTGTTTTCAACCATTCTAGGCTACTCTCCTCGAGCTTCACAACCGCTACTGCATGCACATGCAGGCTAATCATGCCCTACCCATCACTATCGTTTGCATAAACCCCGCAGCCTTGCTCCAGATGACACCTCGAGAGCAGCAATGCATATCAAGCTCATTGCTACAGAGACATGTTGAGTAAACAAGGAACATGCCTACAATTGAGTTCCAACACCGGATGATCACTCAAGATTCTGGCTCGTGCTGATGAGTTGGCAGCTCTGCTAGCGGCATTGAATTCTTCAATGGACGGGCTGGAAGCTCAGTCTTTGACGTGAGGCGTTTGTCTAACGGCGACTAAAGAAAGTGTGATAGCTCTTCTACGATGATGAAAAGCCCTGATGAACGCCTCAAGTCGATGTTACTGGCCTATCACAGCCGGTGTTGAAGTTTCCAAACCGCATGCAGAGTGCAAATGCTTATATCGACATCGAAACGTACTGTACATTGGCTGGTTGTAGACGAAGATAATCTTTTCATTCGCCCACTCACGCTTGACAGCAAAAGAATAAAGCTGGGAGGAGCATAGCGGGTAGCCTACAGTAGCATTGCAAATCAATCCCGCTCGTTACGTAGCCAATAAGCATATCCTTGTCTGACCCCTTCTCGAAGCTGGAACACAGACCTGTTGAGGGTCCTTGCTATGGAATTTCAGGCGCAGAATTGGGTACGATCCTTTACGCAACCAAGCTGATAAGAAGCAACATCGATGATCGATGCAAACAATGCATTGAGTAAACATGATCGGAATAAAAACAAACAATGACTGAGTAGCTCAGCCTGACTAGCAGATCGGGCTAAGTATCATCCAGAGACAAGTGAGCCTTTTTAGCTACTACCTAACTATGTATCAATAATGCGGTGTCTTTCACGGCCGTCCCACTCTCCACGTTCCACTGTAGACTCCACGTTCATCCCAGTCATTGATACTTCAAGCACAAGAGCTCAAGGCTTCCATGAGAGGAATCTGTAGTGCAGTCAGCAGGCCATGTCCCTTGTCCATGTACATCTCGGTAGCCAGCAGCGCAAGCTCGACGCAGGTACTAACAACGCAGGGGCAAAACAGCGGAAATCATCAGGTACCGTGCAGGACCGCTAAAGCAACAAGTCATCCAATCCATAGCTGGTACCCGTAGACAGCTAGGAATAGCAACATTCGGGCATTTTACAGAGGAATTCACTGTAGATAGCCCAGGCTGCTTAGATTCCCATGAACGCACAGCCTGCAAACTGGAGCCTGTTCCTTGTTTAGACCCCGTCGTTGAGTAAAGTTAGATGGTAGACAGACCCGAAAAAAAGAAGAAAGAGCAGGAATCAGAGTGCTCAGCTTCACTTCACCTCTCGCTTCACCCTGGGCCTGGCCTGAGCTAGCAGCTGTTCCCCCGTCGATACTCCATTCTCCTTAACTGACCGTATCCTCAAATACTTTTTCACAAAAGTAATGCTATTCCCTCTTCTCTTCTTTCGTCTACGACCTCTCTCTCCCTCTCTCTCTTTTTCTTTCTCCTCATACTCGTAATACTAACCCAACAGCGAAACCAATCGATACCGACGGGCGATAGGCGATAGCCCCGAAGGAAACGGAACGGAAACAAAGGGAAAACAGACGGCGCTTTTACTTGACCTCAGTCTTGGATGCCCTCTACCAATCACTCGGCATCGTCGTCCCCCTTTCGATACTGTCCTGTCTTTTAGGTCACCGTCACGGGGCCATCCATTCATTATTCTTTTTCTAAAGGACAATCGACTTCGACGCGATTCTTTGAGATAACTTGCTCCTTAGCAGTTCTTGTCTTGTCTTACTCCTCAGTTTTCACTGTGACGGACGGGACATCTCAATCACTAGTGCATCTGCATAATTCCTTTTCCTCCTGCTTCGTATTTCAGCCAACCTCGGACCCTTCTACAAGGGCGACATCCCAATTCCTAGCGAAGAACCTCAAACGTCACCGGCCGGCCGCCCTTGAAATCAGTCGATCCACCCCAGTCCACTCTGGGATTGAAAAGAGACTTTGTCGCCGGAGCAGACTCCACCAGAAGCTCAGGTACCAGCGCGCACCATAATTATCAACATCTCTCGTCGTTGTCGCGCGCGCTCTCTCTCGAGAGTCTGGACTCATCGTCTCTTTTCTTCGTCCTTTCCATTTCGCCTCAAATTTTCAACAAACGCCCACGTCACTGCTGGGAAACTCTGTCTGCGCCTCCTTTGTCGCCGTTGGCTTGGTTGCATTGGTGACAGAGCGCCCCTTGAGCGGTAACAAGCGTTTTTGGCCGTTGGAGATCCTTCGGGGTGCCAATTCCACTCGGGAATGAGCAATAAGATCGCTGTCGCATAAGTCGTCGAGAAAACATTCCAGGAACCAGCACCAGAAGCCCTCCAAATACCACAACTGCCTTGGTCTGCCTCTGCCAGAGGTGCGACGCTTGAACCAGAGTCAACAGGGGTAAATTCCCACTAATTACTGGTCTTGGTCTCGGTACAACCCACTGTGTGTGTCGTGCAGTCTGCCTGTGCTTTTGCTCTGCTTTGCTTGTGCGTTGTGCGCTTGTGTGTTTTGCGGTACCTGACTAAGGAGAATCGCTGGCGCCCATTCGCTGTTCGACCAGTGTGTTAATAATTAGACACACTCTCACCCGCAAATCTGGGCATTTCCAATCGCATTTTCTCTCGACGACCGACCGACATTTCGAGGTTCCTCACGTTTGCGCTGCATTACACTCATTCTCTGAACTCTCTCTTTACTACTGAAAGCTCATTTTTCTGTTACGGTTCTAATCGCCTTTCACTTTCACTTGCACTACTTTCTTCCATAATATCTTCTTTTGGTTTTTTTCTGTGGGAATTGTCTTTATTTTTTCTCGCAGCCGGGTCTGCTCTCTTACAGCACAGCCAGTACCTTAGCTCCAATCTTACGCACTCTCCCTGCAGGTGGCATTGCTGCAATCTGACTGGTCTGTCTATCTATTACGGTACCGGTACTTTAACAGGTGCTGTACCCCGTCTTTCAACAACAAACACGACCCAGCTCCATTTAGCCAGCACAACACGCTCGAAACTCTCAACACACCACAAACACAGAGCCATCACCCCTGCGACGGGCCTGTTACGTCGTCCGTCTGCGTATCTTGATGGTTTCAAGGCGTGATTGAGGAAGTTTTCCTTGCCCTCTTCGGAAGAGGGCCACTTTTGCTCTGCAATCATGGCTTCTTCACTGGCTTCCGACAAGCCAAGCTTGCCCGCTCCCGGCGCAGCGCAATATGACCCTTTTATCACAACAACGCCGCCTGCGCCCGCGCCTGTGCCGGCTCAGCACCGGTATTCGAACTACGATCATGATTTTTTCGTGACCGGCCCTGCTTCCCCAGAATCCGCGAAGCGAGCGCTCGCTGCTCATTTGCAAGAGACCGAGCGTCGCCTTGAGGAGGCGGGAAAACTGGGTAATGCCTTGGTTCTCCAGC